GCCTAGGCTTCCAACTGTAATCACATGGCCAATTTAAAGAAATACCATCACCTGTGCCCTCCTTACAGACACGGTCTATTGGTCTTAGTGGGAGCATGCATGTGGTTGTCATTAGAAAGTCACATTGTCCCTCTTTGAAGATTACATAATATCATATATAGAAAAATCTAAAGACCACCAAAAGAACGCCCAGATTTATTTTAGGATGCAAAAATCAACGTACAAAGTTTAGTAGCACTTTTATACACTAATGATGATGAAGCTGAGAACTAAACTAAAAAGTCACTTTTTTTTACAAAGCTACAAAAAAGTTAAAATGCCTAGAAGTCAAAGAGATGAAAAATCTCTGAGCTGTTGACCACTACCTGTGGAAGTTCACCTGCAGACCATGACTCAATGATGGATAAATGAATGCACTTTCACACCATACAGTGATTCAAGTGTGCTAGGGATGGATATTGGCTGCTTTCAGAGGGTGAAAGGCAACCAACTGACTAAGACTCCCTCTCCAACTTTACATTTATTCAGTATAAATTTTACAACAGAGGTGCTAAGTCAACACATTTGTGCATAATTAACATGGTTAAAAGAGTGGTTTTATAAATGATAAAATCTTTAGGTTCCAGGCACAGAGTAGACACTATTAACAGGTAATTCCCCTTTGATCTGCCCCTGAGAGGGACATCCAGCACAAAGTTGACATGAGTAAACAGTTAGGGATGTGGGGTAAACAGACTTAAACTGGGAAAGCTTCTTATCATCCCTATCTTCTCCCTAACTTAATGGAAGTACCACCTTCGGCCTGTCCCAAGAAAACCTTTCAGCCTTCCAAAAGGTTTAAGACTATAATATATAACTTTCCCTAATATTTTCCATAATGTTTTGCCACCACCCCATGTGAATCTCAATGAATCTCTGCAAGTAAAATTACAAAACATTGATGAAAGAAATTGTACGTGACACAAATGGGAAAAAGATCCTATGCTCATGGATTGAAAGAATTATAATCATTAAAATGACCATAACACACAAAGCAATCTACATATTAAAGGCAATTTCTATCAGAATGTCGACGTTATTTTTTATAGAATTAAAAATATTCTAAAATTCACATAGAACCAAGAAAAGAGCCTGAATAACGAAAGCAAATTTAAACCAAGAGAAGAAAGCTGGAGATATTTCATTATCTGACTTAAAATTATACTCGAAGGCTTAAGTAACCAAAATAGCATGATACTGATATGAAGACACATAGACACATAGATCAATGGAACAGAATAGTGAACCTAGAAATAAACCACATGCCTACAAACAATTGTCAACAAAAACATACATAGGAGAAATGACATTCTATTCCACCAATTGTGCTGAAAAAATTATATTGCTGTAAGCAGAAGTATGGAATGAGACCCCTGTCCCCCACCATATACAAAAATTAATCTAGTATAAATTAAAAATCTAAATTGTAACACCTGAGACTATAAAAATGCTAGACAAAACTCTAAATAAGCTCTTCTGGACATTGACATGGACAAAGAATTTATGACTAAGATATCAAAAACAGATATGACAATATCAAAAATGGACAAAAAGAACTCAATTCAACTAAAAAGCTCCTGAAAATGAGCTTTCTAATTAACAGAGCAAGGGAAAACTTATGCAATGAGATAAATATTTACAACTTTTGCATGCAACATAGAACTAATGTCCAGAATATACAAGGAATTCAAACAGCTCACAAAAATGAAACAAGTAACCTCATTAAAAAACAGGGAAAGAAAATAAACAGACATTTGATAAAAAAGGCAATGATGGTCAACAAGCCTGTAAAAGATGCTCAACATTGTCAATGATCAGAGAAATGCCAATTAAAAACCACAATGAGATACCAACTTACACGTGCAAAATGTCTATTACTGAAAAGCAAAAACAAAACAAAAACAAAAACAAAAACTGAGATATGTGTTAAGGATACAGAGGAAAGAGAACATTTACGCATTGTACGTGGGAATGTAAATTTCTACAACCTCTATGGAAAACAGTGTAGTGATTTCCCAAAAGACGAAAAATAGAACTTCCATTTGATTCAGCACTCCTACTACCTGGTATCTACCCAAATGAAAATAATTCCTTCCATAAAGAAAGTACCCACACTCATATGTTTATTCCAGCACTATTCACAATAGCAAATATATAAAATCAGTTTAAATTTATCAGTCAACAATCAAAGAGAGAAAATAATAAAGATAAAGAAGAATAAAATAATTTATTTTTCAGCAACATGAATAAAACTGGAGGTCATTATTGTAAGTAAAAAAACTCAGAAATAGAAAATCAAGTTCTGCATTTTCTTGGTTATAAGTGGGAATTCAATAATGCATACACTTGGATACAGAGACTGGAAAAATGGACACTGGAGACTGAGATAGACGAGAGGTTGGCAGAGGGTTTAGGAATGAGAAAATAACTAACTGGGACAATAAACAGCATTCAGATGATTGTCACACCAAAAGCCCATACTTCATCACTATGTAACATGCTTCTAGTAATGAAGCTGCATCTGTACTCTCTAATGGATTAATAAAGGGGGGAAAAAGGCTGGGCACAGTGGTCACACCTGTAATCCCAGCACTTTGGGAGGTCAGGAGTTTGAGACCATTCTGGCCAACACAGTGAATAAACCAGGCCAACACAGTGAAATACTCTCTATATTACAAATACAAAAATTAGCCGGATGTAGTGGCAGATGCCTGTAATCCCGGTTGCTGGGAAGGCTGAGGCAGGAAAATCACTTGAACCTGGAGAGGTGGAGGTTGCCATGAGGCAAGATCGCACCACTGCACTCCAGCCTGGGCAACAGAAGGAGACTCCCTTGCACAGGCTGGAGTGCAGTGCAGTGGTGCCATCTCAGCTCAACATAACCTCCTGCTCCCTGGTTCAAGAGATTCTTCTGCCTCAGCTTCCCGAGTAACTAGGATTACAGGCATGCACAACCACGCCCAGCTAATTTTTGTATTTTTAGTAGAGACAGAGTTTCACCATGTTGGCTGGGCTGGTCTCCATCTCCTGACCTCATGATCCGCCTGCCTTGGCCTCCTGAAGTGCTACGATTGCAGGAGATAGTCATCACGCACGCCCAAAACTTTGGCTTTTATCAAAAGGGCAAAATTAATATACCTTATAATTTTTTTAAATAAAAAGTTTAGGCAGAAAAATAATATTAATGAAATAAATAAAAAATATTCTATTTTAAGAATGATACAGAAAAATAATTAGATGAACTAGAGTAGTTAGGCAAGATTCTAAGCCACTTAGACATTTATAGACAGAATATCTAACAGAGTAAAATAAATAACACAAAGGGCAATGGCAATGACAAATTGACATATTTTCAATCATTTTAGATGATATTAAAACCATCATCAAATTTAGTTTGGTTTCATAATTTTAAAAGTTAAATAACTTCATTAAAAAGTTTAATTAGGTGCATAGATAAATGGGCAGAATTTTGACCAGTAGACAGAGGATACACATTTTCAAAGACCAGATAAAATAATTATTTGTTGCTTTTTTAGAGGGGAGAGAGCAGTTTCATTATCTGGTGATATAGTGGGGTCCTTCCCCGGGAGGTGAGGTCTTCCACTGTTTACCGCTGGCAGTGCTCCAGGAGGCACCAGGCGATTCAGTGCTGGGCTCAGCTGGGGGCCAGGCCTTGGAGTAGGCGAACTGGGCAGGGAAGCAGTACCTGTGGGGTCCTCGCCTCCCACTCCGTCGGCTGCACTGCCTCTCCTGGTGCTCCTCAGGCTCCCACTGAGTCTGCCTCTCTGTAGGGCAGTGAACCGTCCTGCCCAGAACCTTATCCTCAGAGCCCAGTTTGATGCAGGTCAGGAGTTTTTACTTCCTCCCCTTGGGCGGGACTTTGTATCTGGGTTTCTTCCAGTCCTTCCTCCGGCCGCTTGTGTGTCTGCCTGAGCTTAAATTCCAGCCTCACAAATGTTCCAGCTGGGAGGGGCATGTCCACGGCGCTGTCCACACAGGTCTCCGGGAAGGCCGACTGTAGAGTAGGTGCTTGTAGATTCCTCCAGGGTCACCTGCAGGCCCCAGAAGCTCGGCCCCGCCCGCGCCCCCCCGCCCAGGCACCTGGCCAGCGAGATCTGCAGCTCTCCCAACCTTCCGCGGTCACCCAGGCCCGGCGAAGCGGGTGTCCCTTAGCTCTCCAAGCCCACTGGGAGCTGCCTCCATCTCTGCCCCGCCCCTTGGGGGGCCACGCCCACAAACCCGCTGGGCGGAGGCCAAAGAACCAGGAAATGGTCCCTTTCTTCACATTGACCTTGGGGTTTGCCTGGTCTTCTCCACTCCCTCCCACCCTGCCTGCAGTGTTCCCTGGGGCCCGCAGTTTCAGCAAAGTTCCCTGCCACACCGGGAAGCAGTCCTGTCGCCCAGTCCCACCCTCACCCTGTTTCTGGCCCATTCTCGCTCCCCACTGGTCTCCACACGACTCCCTCTCTTCCCTGCCACTTCCCTTGCTCAGTGCAGTCCATGACCACTTCTCCCTTCCACCCCCCACCGGCTCTCCCGGCTCCCACGGGGTGCCCTTAATCCCCGGGGTTCCAGGTCGACTAGACAAAATTATTTTAAATGGGAAGATTTGAATTCCATTGAATTCATGACATCAGTAATCCATCTGGTCACAATTTAAAGACTTTTGACATGATAATAGCAACTCTTAATTTAAAGTGTAACCAGATTTCAGAATATCCATCGTTTTATGGAAAGCAAACCCTGTTATAACTAAACAACTAATTTAGTAAATTTTTAGGATACACTACTAACATATAAAAATCAGTTGCATTTTTTATAGTACAGTAAAATATCTGAAAAACAAATAAGGATAACAATTACCTTTACAGTATTATCAAATAGAATAATATACTTAGGAATACGTTTAACAAAAAATATGAAAGATCTGCATACTGAAAACTATAAAATGTTGAGAAAAAAATTGAAGAATACAAAATGGGAAATATATCCTGTGTTAATGGATTCTAAAAATTAATATTGTTAAAATATCCATACTGCACAAAGTGATCTGCAGAGTTAAAGACATTTCTATCAAAATTTTAATGCCATTTTATTTAAAATGTAGAACAAACAATTCTATAATTAGCATGAAACCACAAAAGACCTCCAAGAGCCAAATACTGAGAAGAACAAAAAGGCTGGAAACCTCACACTTCCTGATTTCAAACTATGTTACAAAGCTATAGTCATCAAAATAAATAGTACCTGTATAAAAAGCAATAGAACAGAATAGAGGATCCAGAAATAAACTCACAAATATACCAGTCCCACAGAATGGAGAAAGGATAAACACATCAAGAAATGGTGTAGGAAAAACTAGATATGCACAGACAAAAAGTGAACCTCTCATATCATCACAAAATGAATTTGCAATGAAATAAAGACTTAAACGCAAGAATTGAAATCATGAATTCTCTTAAAAAATAGAAGAAAAACCTCCTTGACACTGGTAGTGGCAATGATGTTTTGGATTTCACACCAAGAACACAGTCAACAAAAGCAAAAAATAAAGAAGTGGAACTATGTCAAAGTAAAAATTTCTGCACAATAGAGGAAACAACAAAATATAAAGGCATTATATGAAATGGGAGGAAATATTTGTAAACCATATGTAGGATAATATGTTACTATCCAAAATACATATCACACTAATCAATACAAAAAATAATCCAACAGCAGAATTAAAAGCATTTTCCTCATTAGTAATTGGGCAAAATATATAAATAGCAATTTTTCCAAAGACATACAAATGGCCAACAGGTATATTAAAAAGGCTCAGCATCACTAATTATCAGAGTAATTAAAATTAAAATCACAATAACGTATCACCTTATCATGGTATTTGGATACCTATTATAAAAACGTCAAAAGATAAAAAGTGTTAGTGTGCAGAGAAAAGAGAATACTTGTACACTGTTGCCGAGCATGTCAATTGGTGCAGTCTTTATGAAAAACAGTACAGAAGTTGCTTATAATTTATAAACTAGAACTGCCATTAGTCCCAATTCAGAGTATATAGCCAAAGGACAGAAAGTCAGTATCGCCAAGGGTATCCACACTCCTCTGATACAGAAATAGATAAACTGAAAGATATATAATTTGGGTTTTAATAAAAAATGAAATTCTTTCATTTACAACAATATTGGTAAATCTTAAAGACATTATGCTAAGTGACATAAGCCAAATACAGAAAGACAAATACTGCACAATCTGTGAAACCTAAAACAGTAAATAAAAATAAAAAAATAAAAAGCCATAGAAACAGGGAGTAGAATGGTAGTTCCCATGGGCTAGGAAGTGTGGAAAAGTAGGGAGATGTCCGTGAAAGGGTGCCCACCTTCAGTTATAAGGTGAATAACTGCTCAGGACCTAATGCACAGAATGGGGACTACAGTTAATAATAATGTGTACTTGGAATTTGTTACAAATATAAATCTCAGGTGCTCTCACTACTCACAGAAATGTATTAGCTATGTGAGGGGTTAATATGTTAACTAGCCTAACTGAGATATACACATCTCAAAACAGTCTATTGTGCACCATAAAAATATACACTTTTCAATTTGCCAACCATAGCTGCATATATGTGGAAAATAATCAAGAGTGACCAGCAGGTCATATCTAGCCACATGGAAACTTGATTTAAAACACTCTTGGCCACTGTTTCCAACTCAACAAGGGAAAGCCTGGAGCACTTATGGTCCCTGGACTTTGACCCTCCTCCCATGGTCCCCTAGGAACAATGCCTTGGGTAAAAGAGACTGAGGAGTGAAGGTTAATCATAGAAGAAAACTCAAGCTTTTTAAAAAATAGAGCTTGGAAACTCTTATTTAATTGCAGAAGATTTCTCCCCAAAAATCAGCGGCACAAGAAAACTGTGAAAACAGTTTACCCCTTCCTGATTCAGAAATGTGTAATAAAGTTTGGTTTGCAGTTTTTAAAAAACAATTAAACAATTATTAGTGACTTAATCAAGTTATACAATAAGTGAACTAAAGTTCATAGGACACACAGATGAGTTTATCAAACTTTACTATTTTATCTTGTCATTTACAACATCCATATAAGCAATGAGCCACATAAGCAAAATTCACATAACCACTTAAGTGTACATTTGTCCTTGTCTCCATATATTTATACTAAGATGAACAGCAAACATAGAAAAAGAAACATCAAAATTCTATAAAAAGAAATCTGACAATATGCATTGTTGTTCATGCCCTTCAGGATCTAGATCAATATTATTGAGAAAACATAGATAGTGATGAATACATTTTCTTATCCTCGTTATAGCCTAAATAATATTGAAGAACTAATGAACAGGTAATATTTCATAGAAAATTAGATTTTATAGTTTTCTCATGTGAAGAATCTGTTGATATGTACTATATATTCAGCATTTGTATTTGGTTTGTTTTATAGCTAATAAAATATTTATATATGAACAACTGAGTACAGTATTGAAATAGTCAGTGTGCTGGCATTCATAATTTTCATAAACACCATTACAGGCAATTAAGTTGTGCCAGAAATATCTGATTTCTAGTACAAAAGGAATACTTAACCAGAGCCTGAAGCTCAAGCTATTTATTGAAAATGTCCTCAATTGCCATAAAAACATTATAATATTAAATAACTCATTTTGATAAATTATGAGTTAAACAAAAAAAACAAATGATACTTTTATGGATTAGGGAATTGCTAATGAGATAGAATGGCAATTGAAGCCCAAAGATCTGAATTCAGGTAAATAATTTTACTCATATTGGTTTTCTGTTGAAGAAAACAATAATTCTGACCATATACTATTTATTGCCGTGGAGTATTTCAAAAATTTGTACATAATATATAATTAATTTTCTAATGGTACAAAAGTAACTACATTCTACAAATTATTAAAATATGGGCTATTGATGGGAAGGGTGTTTCAAATAAAAGAACTTTGAATGAGGTGGTGATACATGGAATAGAAAATCTATGTAAAATCTTTTGCTCATATATGCAACTATTGCTATTTCTGCTTTTCAGAAAAATAATATACTTTAAACACTTAACGAAAACAACTAAAATCACCAAGAAGTTACAAGAATTCACAGAGTGCCTAATACAGTTGAAAGGAAATTAAGAAAACTTGCCAGGACTGGAAGTAAATAAAGGTAATGATCCAGAGAACCTAATGAACCTAAGACGCCAGTGCTCCACTCAGATGCATCTGATCACAAGGATGTCAAATCCATGTGGGTTGTTACCTTTTGACAGGGCAAATGGAATAAATGAAGAGAAGCTGCCTGCAGGCATCAGAATGTGGTGTCTCCCATATGTGATGATTAAATTGTAAATTATATTGCACACAGGAGACGAGCTACTGGGGTGAAGCATCAGAAAAAATATATGGCACATAAATCTTAGATATTGACTTTATATTTAACTGTTTAAGTCAATATAATGGAAAAACAAGAAACCAAAATAATATGGAAAGAAACTATGAGCTTATCAAGCTATCTTTGGAAAAGAAGCAAATGAAAAGTAAAGAATTGAAAACGTTTTAAAACAATGTAATGTACAACATACAAATTACATATTAAAATAGACTCAGCTGAAAAGAGGATTAGTAAAGTGAAATGCTGATCACAATTCATGTAGTCATATACTTTATAAAAGGCAAATTAATAGAAAATAGAAGTATATTTATATATGAAGACTAGATTGAGAACAAATTTAAAACATTTAATTGTTTTACCAGACTATCTGAATAGGAAGGCAATATTCAAAGAATCAGTGACTCATAAATTTCAGAAATTGGAAACCAGACATGAATCTTTTAAAAGTTTAGGGTGTAATATATGTAAAAAAGGTAAATTAAGAAATACTTGGAAGAAATAATGGTTTTGGTTATTATGAATACTGCTTAACAAACATGAGAGTGCAGTTATTTTTTGACACACTTATTTTGTTTCCTCTTGATATATACCCAGTAGTCAGATTGCTGAATCATATGGTAGCTGTATTTATAATTCATTGAAAAAAACCCAATCTGGGTGCAGTGGCTCACATCCACAATCCCAGCACTTTGGGAGGCTGAGGTGGGTGGGTCACCAGGTCAGGAGTTCAAGACCATCTTGGCTAACACAGTGAAACCCGTCTCTACTAAAAATACAAAAAAATAGCTGGGTGTAATGGCATGCACCTGTAGTCCCAGCTACTAAGGAGGCTGAGGCAGGAGAATCTTCTGAACCTGGGAGGTGGAGGTTGCAGTTGGCTGAGATTGTGCCATTGCCTTCCAGCCTGGGTGACAGAGCAAGACTCCATCTCAAAAAGAAAGAAAAGAAAAGAAACACCTTCATGCTGTTCTCCCTATATAAGTGGAAAATAATTGTACTAATTTACATATTCACCAACAGTTATAAGTGCCCATCTACAGAATAAAGAAAATGTCATACACACAGACACGCAAACACACACACGCACACACACACAGAAGAAAAATGTTTAGTCATAAAATAGAATGAATTTCCATCATTTGTGTCAATGTGGAAGAGTATAGAGGACATTATGTTAAGTGGAATAAGTCAGGCACAGAAATAAAAAGACCACATCACTCATGTGACATTTAAAGAAATCGATCTCATAGAAGTAGAGAGGAGAATGGTCATTACCAGAAGTTAGAGATGACAGAAGGATGAGGAAATGGGGAGAGGTTTGTCAATGGGTACATGGTTACAGTTAGAAAGGATAAATCCTGGTGTTCTATTACACGGTACAGTGACTATAGCTAAGAAGGTACTGTTTATTCTATCATAGCTTGAAGAGAGGATTTTAGCACAAGGAAATAATAAATGTTTAAAGTGTTAAATATGCTAATGACTGGTTGGATCACTGTACAGTGTATGTGGTACAGTGTGATGCAGTGAAACATCATATAATGAACACATGATAATTATACACATTTACAAAGCACAATGTGATGTTCCTACACTGTAGCATGTAGTATAATGCAGTGAAACACCACATTGTACCCCATAAGTGTTACTGGTTCAGCGAGAAACGGTAGGACACAGAGAAGCTCTAGGTCAGCCATGACCAGCAGCTTCACCTATGTGGGGTAGTGAGAGGAGAAGGGCTGTTCACTCAGCTGAGAGCTGACCCTGATTTTATTCTCTCTGACTGCTAGGTGCCAGCAAAAGTAAGAGACCCCTAACTTTAGGCAGAGGCAGGAAGCAAGGTCATTGCCTCTTAAGATTCCATCTCATGTTGGGGTTGGTGGGAAGAAATCTTGGGGAGACCCATCAGGGGCTGAGTAGGGGGAAGCATGCAGGGAAACATCAAAGACAGTGTGGGACTGCATGTGAATGGGAACTGAGAACACATGGTCTGGCTCCTCCTGGGGACAAGGCAGCAGGGCACAGGTCAACCAGGCCCCCACATGCTCCACCTAGCTGCCAGGCACACATAGTGCCCAGAGCCCCAGCAGCCTCAGGAAATGTTCTTTCTTAATCAGCAAAAGGGGGCTTTAACCTATACCCACGAAGGCACTGGTGTCCACACTCATCAAAGAACAAAACAACTTTTGTGCATGAGATGGGGAAAGAAGGTATAAAATAAAAGAAAATAGTTAAGGCAAGTAGAATCTATGGTCTCTACTTTTTCTGAAGAGGATTTTGAAGGTTTCAGTTTTTAAAGGTGGTACAGCAGGCAGGAGGGAGAAAGGGAAAGAAAAAATAAGAGAGAAGGTATGGCCACATTAGTGTGAGGCTTTGATTAGGCTTGCTGAATCCACACATTTCGTGTGAAAAGGAGCCATTAGAGGAAGGCATTTAGCAAAAGTTTAGTAAATCTGCACTTTACACAAGATAAAGCAAACCCGACATGGAGGAAGCAATCAAGTATGTATTCATCTTGGAGTGGAGGAGCTGGGAAGGGCAGAGGGGAGGGACAAGTTCTAGTCTTGTCTTGTACTGTGAAGATAAGCTGTTAATTTACAATGTCAGGGTGAGCGAGTTCACTTGTGGAGATATCTGGCCTTCTATCTGTAACTATCTGATTATGAAGAGAAGAAAACTTCCCCTTACCACTGTGGGTTCCATAGCATCTGCTCCTTTCAGCAAACCCACTCCCACCCCTACAACTGCTGAACCCCACCAGGATGGCATATGCCAAGAACAGCCTACCAGCACAGCCCAAGGGGTGTGCGTCCTGGAGAAGTTGTGCTGGAACTGGGGGAGGTGCATGTTTCCCAGTCACAGAATCTCCCACATGTCACCATTCATGGCCTCTGTGCCACAGGCTTTCCCACTGTGACACAAGATAAAAATCCCTCCTGAAGGCTGAGAGGCTCACACAGAACACCATACCTGTTTAAGTGGCTGGAGAGGGTAAAAGCCATGGGTGGGAAACTCCCAGCCTTGGGTGTCTTGCTCTAGGACTGATGTGCATCAGACCACAGCCCTGTCAGAGGCATGTGAGTCAGAGCAACTCCATCATGAATGGGTAAAATGAGGCTGAAACCTACTGGGCTGCATTCCTCAATAGTTAAGGCATTCTAAGTCACAGGGTAAGATAGAAGGTCAGCACAAAATACAGGTCATAAAGACCTTGCTGATAAAACAGGTTGCAGTAAAGGAGCTGGCCATAACCCACCAAAACCAAAATGGCCACAAGAGTAATCTTTGGTTGTCCTCACTGCTACACTCCCACTAGCACCATGACAGTATACAAAAACCATGGCAAGGTCAGGAAGTTATTCTATATGGTCTAAAAAGAATAGGCATGAATATTCTACCAGTTGTTTAGCATATCATCAAGAGATAACCATAAAAAAGGCAACCAGCAGCCCTCAGCCCTGTTCTGTCTATAGAGTAGCCATTTTTTATTTCTTTATTTTCTTAATAAACTTGCTAGCACTTTGCACTGCTGACTAGCCCTGAATTCTCTCTTGCTGAGATCCAAGAACCCTCTCTTCAGGTGTGGATCAAGACCCTATCCTGTAGCATATATTTGGTGGCCACGGAAGGGACTATAGTGCAGAAACCCTGACCCAATGCTACCTTTGGGTAAGCGTAGGTTCCTGTAACATCTTTCTGGTGACCATAAAGATGACTATTCTGAGAAAAACCCTGACCAAAAAGCTAACTTTGGGTAAGTGGTGGAGTCTGGTAACGTCTTTCTGGTGAATCCTGAAGGGACAATACTGAAGAGACCCCTGACCCAAAGGCGATAGACTGCAGCACTGATTAGGTGATTTTGGGTAAGTCATTGAGTACCCAGGTAAAGAATGGTATTGGAGGCTGAAAGCAGTGGCTCATGCCTGTAATCCCAGCACTATGGGAGACTGAGGTGGGCAGATCATGAGGTCAGGAGTTCAAGATCAGCCTGGCCAGTATGGCGAAACCCTGTTTCTACTAAAAAATACAAAAATTAGCCAGGCATGATGGGGTGCACATGTAATCCTAGCTACTCAGGAAGCCGAGACAGGAGAATTGCTGGAACATGGAAGCCAGAGGTTGCATTGAACCAAGATCACACCACTATACTCTAGCCTGGGTGACAGAGCAAGACTCTGTCTCCAAAAAAAAAAAAGCATTGGGTTAGAGGAGTTAAGTCTCTCCTAAGACAAAGTGGGAAAAGTGAGTTAGAGGCCCCTCTTAATAAAAGGCAAAGATGCTTGATTGACCTTGGGTTAGAGGCCCAGATCAGAAAGGCTAGAGTCACTTCTAAGATTTAGGAGGATAGAAAACCCTCTCAGTGAAGTTCCTCTCAGCTAGAAAGAGGTCTGGCACTATAGAATGTTAACTTCTACTCTCTTTGAGTTAATCTGTCTTGCACTCTTTGCTGATGGCTGTGGGTAACAGGATTAAGCATGTACAGGATAGTGGGATATGGGAAGCTTTGTCCTTCCTAAAAGGGGAGCATTGAGAGCTGATGGGAATGCTGGAAAGAAGTCCCTTCATGATAGCAGCTACAGCAGCCTGAAGTTTTCAGTGTCGCTGAAATGGCTGGGTCTTTCTCTGGCCTCCCTGATCATTTCATCTTCTCCACCCTGTCACACACAATGCTTTTGTCTATTTCCTTTCCCTTTCCTATCTTTTCTATTATTCAGGGTGGCCATTTTGCCCGGAGACCATGAGTTGAAACTCCAAGTCGGAGGTTAAATTAAAGATGAGGAGGCCCATCTGGGGGCAAATTGAAGACTTGCCAGTTTGATATTTAGTGCTAAGCAGAATGGCTAATGCCCATGTTTTATTACATGTATTTTGCTCTGGCTAGAACAAAAAATAATAAGGAATTTTCCTTTATGATTTGGTTTGGCAACCCAGGGTGATGGTACCAAAAGCAGGATCACTAGGACTGCTCGGGGAAAGAAAACCCAGAAGTTTGTCACGCCAGAAAAACAGTAATTTCTTACCAGGCAGATTTCTGGCTTCTCTCTCTGTGTGCAAATGGTTGAATTTACATACCCATCAGAAGTGTACAAGGGTTTCTTTTTCTCCAGTGCTTACGAACACTGTTATCTCTTGTCTTTTTTCTAATAGCCATTCTAACAGGTGTGTGGTGATATCCCATTGTAATTTCACCTGAAAGTGTAAAACTCCTAGAATAAAACATAGGGGAAACATCTCCTTGACATTGGGTTACACAAAACATTTATTGATAGGGCATTAACAGCACAGACATCAAAAGCAAAAATAAGCAAGTAGGACTACGTCAAACTGAAAAGCTTCTGCATAGCAAAGATAACAGTCAATGAAATGAAAAAGTAGCCTATGGATTTGGAGAAAAAATTTGCTAGCCATATATATGATAAGGGTTAATATGAAAATATATGAAGAATTTCCATAACTGAATAGCAACAAACAACACCCCCAAGATCTTATAACCTGATTTAAAAATGAGCAAAGAACCTGAATAGACACTTTTGTTTTAGATTATATACTAATCTCACACAATAAATATGAGTATTCAGTACAGAAGGTACAGTAATCTCCAACCCTACAAAAGAGCACCCTGAGACATTGGGTCATCATGGATGTCAAAACCCTCATTTTTATTTTATTTTTAAATTTTCCCTTTTCTTCATCTAAACCACCATAAAAATCCTCAAACATAGAAGAACAAAACTTAGAAATAAATTCCTAGATAAAAACAAATTTAAAAAGTAAGCCGAAGAAGAAATATATTGATAGATATATGTTAAGAAATAGAATATATGCAAATAAAAATATTAAATTAATTAAGAATCTTCCCACGAAGAAAGGCCTAGACACAGTTGTCTTCACTGCTGAATTCTACCAAACATAGAGTGAAAAATTACTATCAACGCTTCATGATCACTCCAAAAATATAAACGAGAGAACAGAATCGTGTTTAACAGGGGCCAGGGTGAGGTCACAGATATGTTGACCAAGGGGTACTGAAGTTAGGAAGAGCAAATTCAGGATCTACTGTTTAATATGATATAGTTAATAAAAAATTTTTATATTCTCGAAAATCACTGAGAGAGTAGATTTTTAGTATTCTCACCATAAGAAAATAAGTATGAGAAGTAAGGCATATGGATTGGAGACACCTGGGGCTCTGTCTGCTCTGGGGCTGAGGTCTGAGTACTGCACATTAGCATGTCTCCTGAAGGCAACTTCACGGTTTTCAGTGGATGCTGGCCCTAGGACTTTCAGTCTGTGGGTTCCTCAATGTGGGGATTTGCACCTCTCTGGCCACGTCCCCATAACCAAAGCTGCATTTCCTCCATCCCCAGAAGCAGAGGGCAGTGGAGACTGGATAGGACTTGAATTGGAGGCCACCTCAAAAGACAGGGTGCCACAGGGTTTGGCCTCTCACTTTCAAGCAAAACCAGATGGCCACCTCCACTCCAGCACTGAAGCCAGTCTCCTTGTGATGTCTTCCTCCCTTTCACCTCCCTGCTCCTGCCCTCTTCTGGAGCAGGCCAGAAATCAGGCCAGCCAACCCAGAGGAGGAGGAGGAGGAGGCAGAAGAGGGCAGGCAGTGCAGCCTACACTTTCACCCACACCACTGAACAAGGCTTCAGGGCCAGGCTGAGATCCAGGCTGAGGTACAGGCTGTAGGGCCAGGCTGAGATCCAGGCTAAGGTTCAGGCTGCAGGGCCAGGCTGAGATCCAGGCTGAGGTTAAGGCTACAGGGCCAGGCTGAGATCCAGGCTGAGGTTTAGGCTTCAGGGTCAAGCTGCGGTCCAGACGCACTTGGTGGCCATCTTGTGTCACCCCTCTTTGGCCCGGAACAGCCGCTCCAGCTGCCGCTTCTCCAGTTTCCTATTTACGGAGAGTTTTGATCCTCCTGGAGTCCCCACGGCTGAAGAAGGAGACAGTGGCCACTTTTAACACAGTGGACGCCTCCCCACTGCAGCAGCCAACCTTGCCAGTGTACCACTCCCATGGTGCCAGGCTAAGGTGCGCCCCTGTGGCCTCCCTCCCTCAGCCCACCTCCTTCTACTCCCACTCTGCCTTTCCCACCCTTGTGCCCTTTGCCACTCTCCTGGTAATCACAGCGTGCCTCCTGGCTTTGCAGACACCCTGAAGGCGCGGTGATCTTGGGTCCTGCCCAGATCCTACGATCATTTGGGGAGGTGGGGAGAAAATTTGCCACTTCCCAGAAGGAATAGAACAGAACGCCAGCACTCCAGGAAGAAGTCAGGCATCCCGTGGAGACAGTGGGAGCAGCCCACAGCAGCGGGGTTCTGCGGGGTGCTCTGTGGCCTGCACTGGTGTCCTGGAGGCTGAGGCTCTGGCTGGGAATGAGGTTGCCCTCCGGAAATGTGAACCATCCCTTGATTTGGCTGCTGCATTTCTCAGGCCAGCTGCATTCCTGAGAATTGCTACCACTGCATTTCTAAGGTTTTCAATGGTCATCCATTTGGCGCTTTCGCAAAACCTTTCCCTGCAGGGACTCCGAAGTGCGCAGTTGGCAGCCAAGGCTTTCTCATCACCAAGTGATTCCAAAGTAAATGATCTTCAAATAAATTACCAAGTTTCTGTACACAGTGTGCTTTTGTCCTTGTGGAACTGGGTTGAATCTGGAACAAACCCAGCAGTAGATGTTGGTTTTACCAAAGATAATCAATAGGTATAGGAGCTAAGACTATAAGGCAAAAAATTTGTAGAAATACATACACACATATCCAATATGTGAAATATATATACAATAGCATCTTGTTTTCTTCTCTTAAAAAATACTGACTTTTTTCTGTTTAGTATGATGTTAGGTATGCATTTGTTATACATGTTCTTTATTTAGTTGAGGTGCATTTGTTCTATATCTAATTTATTGAGAGTTTTCATCATCAAGCAATGTTGAACCTTGTCAAATCCCTTTTCTACATCTATTTAAATGTTTTAGTTGGTCCCATAGTCTGTCACCTAGGTCAAAAGCACAAATATTTGTATCATAAGGAATTTCCATTTTTAAGGTTTTGAGAAATTTTTATTCTGTTTTCCACAATGATGATACTCATTTACATTGACACCAATCATATGTATGCATTCCCTTTTTCTACATTTTTGCCAAGACTGTCTTTTTTTTTTTTTTTTTTTTAGATGGAGTCTGGCTCTGCAGCACACACTAGAGTGCAGTGGGGAGATCTTGGGTCACGGCAACCTTTGCTTCCTGGGTTCAAGCGATTCTCCTGCCTCAGCCTCAGATGTAGCTGGGATTACAAGCACATGTCACCACACCTGGTTAATTTTTGTATTTTCAGTAGACCCCTGACTCTGTTTCCCCTTTTCTGCCCACCTGTGCCCCCACTGCAGCCCTGGACCTTCCTCCTGGGGGTTCTCCTGGGGGTCCTCCTGGGGGTCCAGGGCTGCAGCACCAGCAGATAGCAGCATCCCACCTCTTAGGACTTGCAGCAGCCCCATCAGGAGCCAGGGCTCCAGGGAGAGTGAGACAGGGTGGGGTGGGCCAGGACCCATCCTCAAAGAAGCAGATGCAGACACCAAGGTTATACAATTCACTCATCACACCCCCCCCCACAAACTTCCAAGCCAGGGAAGGGGCAAGCAGGGGCAAAGTCCCAGAGATACCAGCCAAGACTTTTGCTCCAGAACGCAGGGGATGCTTTCCTAGGAGGAACATCATTGCCTTCACCAGCCACCAGGAAAGCCATTCCTGTCTACCCGGATTCCCATTACCACCGACTTCATGTACATTCCAGTCCAGAGTAAACAAGAGACACCCAGGCCTCAGTCCCCGTGGGAACACTCAGAGCTCACCAGACAGAGAGGCACACTCTACAAATCTCAGGGCCCACCACATCAGTGGTGGAGTCAACAAAGGAAGATCCCTATGAAATGCACCCCTAAAGTAACCAACCAATCCAAGAAAAAATATGTCTCAGGGCTCCATTGGTCCTTCCCCCTGGGTGGCCCTGCCCCCGTTTGGCCAGGCCCAAGCACACTCCTCTACTGTGTTCTGCTCAAAAGGACCCTGTCTACCAGAGCAGAGCGCTCTCTCTCCAAGGCTCTATCCCTCTTGCTCCCTAGCTCCTTCACCCTCTTTCTCTTTTTTTTAAATATTATTTTTATTTTTTAGACAGAGTCCCACTCCGTTGCCCAGGCTGGAGTGCAGTGGACCAATCTTGGCTCACTGCAACCTCTGCCTCCTGGTTCAACTTGTGGTCACATCAACACTTCTGCTGGTATAATCTGTTCCAGCTGCAGAGCATAGCTGGCCTGCAAATCAAGAACCAGAACGAGGACAGGGAGGAATAACTCAGTGGGTTGGATAATGTGCAAATCACTATACCTCTTGCTATCAATCTACTTTTTCTTCACTCAGAATATTTGGAAGAAGAAAGATTTATCTTTAGCAAAACAGCCAATCAGCCACCCTCTGAAGAACTAGTTTGTCTGATTATCTTCTCCTGAAGCCTAACCCTCTGAGCAGTAATGCTTTGTAATCATGACATTATGTATTTTTGAAACTTCTATTGCCCACCATAGAGTGGCAATTTGAACACCTAATGTTAAATAGCTACTGCTTTTGTTCACTGCTCCCCTAAAAATATCCCTTAGATTTAAAAATATTCCTGAGCATTCTTGTTTATTATTCTTGCATTTCAAATGCTTCTATGTGGCCTGGAATGTACGCATATACAAAATAATACATATCACTCTGTCAACAAAGTACTTTATAGCCTCAATTCCAGATGCAGTATAGCTCCAATCAAATATGAAATATAATACTACCTACTGATATAGGCATAAGTTAAAATGGTAGAGGCTTAACTAGTCATCCAGCATTGAACTTCATCCTGATTAGAAACTCTATTGATTTACATTGAAATCAGTTAGAATTGTATCCCAACCATTTAAAATTCAGCCATAATTGAATACTCAATAATCACTACATACACAGTGCAAGTGAGCTGATATTCTCTTCTCCTGGCATGGCAACCTTTCAGGGACAGGTGCAATCATAACTGCAACCTCATTACGTAACCTGTCACCTTCTAAAATTCATTGTTCCACTAAGTACCCAAATCCAAAGCTATGGTTGGAATATTTTCCTTCTCTTTTATGCATAAACTGACTTGGAAAATTCTATGACTACCCAACATGTTTTCAGATAACATTGTTTTAGAAAAGACAAAGGGGAAGAATGTGCCATACACTTGTAGCACCAATTTTGTTTTGCTTTTTACAGAATTGTGTAGTGAGTTGGAGATTCATCCCATACCCCTCTCCATTCCTCTTTTATTACATGTTGCTGAGGTGAATTTGCTAAAACCCAGAATTCTGTTAACTCCTCAGATCAGAATGGAAGTTATAGCATTTTATGAAATGCATATGGTAATTTTCACCCATTGAAAAAGCTGTAGAATTTTGCTAGATGTAGACTAGTGAACCTCATGGGCTGTAGCCTAGAGAAATAAAATTTCTGAATGGCAGGAGAGCTGATCTTTCACATGTTTTATACGTATACTATACACACTTTTATTATTGCTTATTTGTTGGTGGGTGGCAAAATTGTGGTTTATTTAAAATAGAATCAAAATTTATGTGACATTGACTAACAAATCTACAGTGTTTAGATGTTATATCAAGCAACTGTCTTTGTTCAAATAAATGAGAAACAAACTAATGACTTGCGAGAGGATTTTCTTGTTTGAGATGGAGTTTCGCTCTTGTTACCCAGCCCGAAGTGCAATGGCGCGATCTCGGCTCACCGCAACCTCCACCTCCTGGGTTCAAGCAATTCTCCTGCCTCAGCCTCCCGAGTAGCTGGGATTACAGGCATGCGCCACCATGTCCAGCTAATTTTTTGTATTTTTAGTAGAGGCAGGGTTTCATCATGTTGACCAGGATGGTCACGATCTCTTGACCTTGTGATCCACCCACCTCGGCCTCCCAAAGTGCTGGGATTACAGGCATGAGCCACCCCGCCCAGCCTGCAAGAGGTTTTTACCTCTCTGAGAAAGAAAAACATCATGATACAAAATGAGTGAATTTTGAAAGCTGAATTTGAACATCTCTGATCACACTCTTCTAGTTCTGCCCATAACTGGTCTCCTTCCACATAAGGCTAAAGGAGAGAGGCTTAAAATTGGTGAAGTCACTCTTGAACGAGAACCAGTTATTTTATGGGTCTATGTTCATATGTCAGAATAAGCCATTCTTTTGTCATTTTTAAGTCAAAAATAGTTGCAGCAGTGAGCAAAATGTGTGGAGCACTTTTTCAATAACAGTACACACAGACATGCTTTAAGGTTATCAAACTGCTATTGGATACAGCTAATGTGCAGCATCATCTAAGATTCCTGATTATCATTATGACTGATTAAAAGAAAAAGTATCGGATGAAGCAAAGAAAGGAAAACAAAACAAAAAATTAGCACTTTTCACTTTATTTATTTTGTCAGAGAGAAGCATTTAACACAGTTGTTTTGGTAAGAAATAAGAAAGTGCTAATTAAGTTCTTGTCAAATAAGCATCTGTCTTCTCGCCATTGCTGATAAATTTCAACATGTAGGATATGCTAACGCAGCTTAGTAACTTTATTGTTTTGACATAAAACATAAGAATCTTAGTACAAAGTGTTTAGATCAAATTACATTTATGGCCTAAAAAGAGAGACTGTTGCTAATGTCTCTTGTCAAGAGGAACATAATTCCCTGTGTCAGATTATCACTCTTATTTACATCTAAATCTGGAGTATAACCATGTGTGGGAGAGTAATAAGTGGATAAAATCTGTTTCTAAAGTACTGTTTTCACTACGTAATATTTTAAGAAAGGTCCTACCCTGCCATTATTTTTACATTTTTTTCTGTGATGAGAAAATAATAAATATGGACAGTTAATCTCTAAAGAGAAGGTTTTAGCATCCAACTCACCTGACAAGATTTTCCTTGTCTCCAGGTCCCTTACAAAGTTACATATTCAGTTCTTCAATCTTCAGCCTTGGGCTTCTGCTGCAACAACGACTGCCTTTGTCTTCTCTCTCTGGGAACTCTTTCCTGCCATAAAAGGTAAAATAAAACAACAATAGAAAATCAGGATATGAGGGAAACAATTTTAAGCAAGAAAATTTCTGAAACTTCACACTGTGTAAAAGTGCTTAACTTATACCAACCTCATGTTTTTCTTCCTCAGAAATGAAGCCTCATTTTCCTCCTCTGGTTTTCTGGGGAAAAAAATCTAGTGTTTAATTAATGATAAAAATAAATTTCCTTTGTTAAACATTCTTGCTTAAGTTAGGTACTTAAAAAATTAGCTGTTTCTACTTAATACTATGTTGGGTCACTGCATTTTGTTACCATTTATGCCACAGGAAAGAAAAAGTAACCAATTAAATATACTTTATAGTACTCCACTTGTAAATAAACATGTATCTGATAGAAAAATTTAATTCTAACATATTATTTTAAAGAATTTTCTCAAAATTTCATAATTGTCCATAATTATGATTTATGTAGAGCATTTAAGTTTTCCTAACTTATCACATATGACTTCTACAGCTAACTCATACCATGCAATCTACCCCTAGATAATGAAGAGTCAACTAAATTAGTCATTCAAAAAGACTAAATTTATGAACTCTCTGTTTTCATTTATGTTGGCAATCAGTGTGTTTTAATTATATTAGGAAAGTAATTAGGAAGAACAATGAAGACTTTATCCAGAAAAGGCCTTTAAATGCTGACCCTACACCTACTATGCTTACTTCAAAAGAACAATACTGATACTTGCTCCTTGATATGTCTACCATGACCCATAATCACTGGCATCCCCTGCATGCCTGCTAGAAATACAGAATTTCAGGCCCACTCCAACACACGAATTACAATCTGGTTTTCACCAAGAATCCTAAGTAGATGAAACACACATAAGTTTAAGGACACCAGTGTAGTCCCTCAAGGGGTCCTCAGGACGGGATGGTCCGTCCAGCCCTAGATGTGCCACAGGACCAGGGGGCCTTGGAAGAGATTGATTGTAGGTGTGTTGCACCCCTCTTCTTTCCCAAGGAGTTATCCACCTCGGGATGGGCAGGTGATTAGGACACCTGCAGGTGGGAGCCAGACCCCCTACACTGAAGCTTTAGAAACCACAAGGAAGACAAGGAACGCAGGGCACTGCAGCCCCAAAACTGAGCCAGATGCTGACCCGCACCTGCAGGTAGGTGGACTACAGAGAAACGGCGCTGGAGTTCACTGGCCACACTCCTGTCAGCATGTCGTACCCCCACACACTGCACACACACATCAACACACACAGATACATGCATATATACATACTCACACACACAGAGAAAGACGCATGGAGACATCCAACACTCGCACAGAAACAACACTGCCAGGCAGCTCCTGAGGCTGTGCGGTTCTGCTCTCTGCCGGGAAGCCTCTAGTGGACAGAGCAGCCCCGCAGCAGGCAGACCATACCTGGAAATCCCAGCCGGGACGGCTTTCAAAGAGAGGCCCCTTCACACTGTCTGTGCAGGTCTGAAACATTCTGGGGATACTTGGGTACCGCCCTGGGCATCCGTGGAGCCCCGCCAGAACTTTTCCCAGCCTGGTTTGGCTTGCCAGATTCCTAAAATCGTGGGACCCTGGCGATGGTCTCCTGGAGAGGGGTTGAGGTTGCCCAACGTTGAGGCAGAAACAGAGGACCCCTGCTCTGCCAAGCCGCTGTTACCGTTCCCCAGGCAACAGTGGCAGTCACTGTGACGCGAGCCCCAGCTCCGCCCCTGCGCTTGTGACAGGCTGCTTGAGCATGCACATTGCGTGCCGGCTGGGGAGCAGCCATGTTGACGCTGTCCAGCTGCTGCCGCACAGGTACATGTTGGAGGCGGTGCCAGGGGAGGCCCTAGGAAGGAGGCTGCAAGTCACAAGCAGCGCAGGACCCTGATAGTCCTGACTTCACTACCTCCTTGAGCTGACTCTCCTGTTCGGGTCGGGTGTAGGAGGAGTGCCCTTCAGACCGTGAGGTGGGCACTCGGGACTGCTCTTCTCATTGGATTCCAGATTGGATGGAGTGGGCAGGGATCGGGTTCCATGGGGATGGAAATTCAGTTTGGTGAGGTGAGGCGGTGGTCGCTGGACCACAGAAACATACCTGAGACCATCGGGGAGGGTGTCAGCAGTCCGTTCCGCAGCTCCATGAGCTGACTGACCCCTTTGACCTGGGCCACCCACCAAGGGCCCTGCCTTGGTGTCCAAGGCATATGGGCTTAACAGTTCTTTAATTAATGCAATGCTTTCCAAATTGCGGTTTGCAGTATCAATGTGATCTCTAGCAGAACTAGTTCATTTGTTGCCATGGTATCAAATATGTTAGAAAGATTTGATTAGTGTTTCATACTTTTCCTAATGTACTTAGCCTTAGGAATGCTCAGATTTTCAAAAGTCCTGAATGTTCCTTTTTAATGACATATTATTGAGAGATTGAGACAGGCTAATAATTTACTATTAATATATATCTAATATAGAATACAAATTCAATATAAAATGTAACCAGTGAAGCCTCTTTATTGTAGGTGAACTTTCTCTCCTTGTGCATTACTGAATGGTGGTTGCCTTGATTGTGCCTTTTATCTTGTGCAGTGAATTGTTCCTGCAAAGGGGACCAAATATTGCTAGAGGACAATAGATGTATGAGTAAATAAAGAGAACTGAAATGTTATATGACATCTGTTTCAAATTCCACATACATAACTGAAATTGTGTTAGTGTATTCATGAAGTTGTGCTCTCTTTCAGTATTAGAAGCTCAGTCAGGTTATCTCCATGATCTAAAGAAAACTGAGTTCACTGTTCTGCTTAGTTATGGCACCATGTGCTAGATAATGATAATCAAAATGGTAACAAATGTTTTCCTCTCCTGGTTGTGCACTGGAAAATGTTGGGCTAGCTAGAGAAGTGTCTGCACACAATGATCATCTGAAAACTTTTAGTCGTGGCTTTGTGAATTGAATCAGTAGCTAAAGTAATTGAGGCTGACATAAACTAGCATGCAGGCAGCGAATCAGTAGCCTTGCAGTAAAACCACCCACAGTCCATCACAGTATGTAAATGAGAGAGCATGCAACTTACTTTTAATCATTTCCAAACTGTTAACTAAGAATGTAACAGTGCAGTCTTGCATGATATTTATACCTCCCAAAGGCATTACAGTCTTTAATTAGTACGATTACAATATACACTTATTAACATCTAAGTTTCCAAAACTGTTCCAAAATAAATCAGAGTTCAAGTGTTCCAATATTGCCATGAAAAATTAGCAAGTCAAATTTTAAAAGGTTAATTTCCTTTAATATTAAGACAATTTGTGTATAAGGTGGGAGAGAAGTATCTTGTTGGAAATTGGTAAACTCACTTAAGGATATTTCAAATTTCATGCATTTTTTTCTTTCTTTATCTATTAATATATTCTCATCTCATGTATTTTCATTGAGAAAATTAATAGAGTTGGATATGTCCACATTATAAAAATCAGTATTTTTCATTTTCTTCTTCAGCCTTTTTTCTGTCTTTCCAGTAGACGGATCTTCTCTCTTATCTGCTCTTTAATGCAAGTGCTTGGTCATAATTTTCATTGTCTTGCAAACTATTACACAGTATGTAAAATAACACAGACATATTTTCTCACTGTACAAATTAATACCACAGGCTAAAAGGGCACCTCTTAGCATAAAAAGTAAAAGTTGTTTTACTTAAGACAGTGCTAAAGCAAATGAGAAAATGATGCAATTAGTCAGAATTTTAAATGCAGATGGCCAATTTTCTATATTTAGGGCCACAAATTCACATATTCCTTTGTCACTTAACACTTCTCTGAATTGCTCAGGCAATTGCTTAAACCCTTTAAGTTTGCCTTTGTGGTTTCAGTTGTAATGGTCTGGATCTGGTGCCATCTGTAAGCCTGGAGTGTTAGCCATGCATTGGAATCACTCATGTTTCTTTCACAGGTCACTGCAGGCTAGTAGGGAGGCAATTCCTTAGTCAAAACTGCAAAGCTTACTTCTGTACAGTGGTGACCTGTCCTTGGTGCATAATAAATTCTATACAAATGTCCCTACTAAGCTGCTCTCTATTGATGAGAGGAAATGAATTAGGAAGGAAACTGTCATTTTAAGCAAGGATGATTGTATTCACGTGGAACTGTAGAGTGATATTGGATCCCTCAGAGCTGACAATCTGTTATAGAGGCCAATGATATCCATTGTGCATTCATGTTGAGATTCTATTGCAGTCCAGCAGAGAGATTAGAAAGTAACTCTTGTCTTCTCCTTGTCAAATTCATCTTTAGGATATGAGAATGTTTCTGGCATATCTGTGTCCTCATCTGAGTGATTTTACCCAGAGTAGTTCATGAATGTTAATGGCAGCATTAAAGGGATGAAAAGCCATGTACTAACACCTACCTGGGGACAAAGGAGCAAAAACCATTTGTTGCCATAACTGCTGACAAAAAAATTAGGCAATTTCCTTGCATATAACATTGCTAATCTTATTGTAATCCATAACAGAAATAGATACAGTAAATGTAATAAGATGAAGTAATTGCTGTGCAGGAGAGTAAGGTCAGCTGAACAACTATGTTTCCAGAAAGAAGCAGAAAACACTCAATACTATTACACCAGATGAGCATACATTAGGAAGAGTTGTATTCCCAAAATATTTGTTTTTGTATAATGTAAAAAATATATTTATCTTTGAATAGTTTTTCTTTTTCCCAAAGACATTAAAATCATAAAAATTACATATGGCCATTTCTATCACAACAATAATTTTTTCATTGGACAAGAGACAGTAAATAAGATATACTTAAAATAGGTGAAATAAGTCAATAGACTTTCTATAAGTGGCTGAATTTTCTTCTATACTGAGATGATTGCAGTTAGCATTATTACTATCTTTTTAATTTTTTAAATTTAATTATATTTTTAGTCCTTAATTCTTTGCTACCTTGTCTAAAATGACTTTTTCCCTTAGCTAATGACTGATCAATGAAGTTTAAACTGCATCAAGAGAAAAAAAATCATTGGAATATGTTGTTATCATTGAAAGAGTTAAATTAGAAGTCAAACATGATGCAGGAGCAGAAAACCAAATATCATATCTTCTAAATTATAACTGAGAGCTAAACATTTGATACACTTGGACATACAGATGGCAACAATGGACATTTGGGTCTATTAGGGTGGGGAGAGAAGGAGGTGGACAAGGGTTAATAAACTAACTATTGGTACGATGCTTAGTACCTGGGTGACAGGATCAATCATATCTTAAACCTCAGTATTATACAGTAAATCCATGCCACAAACCTGCACATGTAGCCCCTGAATCTAAAATAAAAGTTGATATAATAAAAAGAAGTCTTAAATAAATAGACCTTCCATTAAATTAATTAAATTCTGGAAATAATAAAGAAATAAAACCTTGGAAGCTTCAAATAGTATTCATGGATATTTAATTAAATATTCCTGAAATAAAGCTCAAAATCAGATACTAAATTTTAAAATTAAGCTATATTCTTTATCTAGCAGAGTTGAATGAGTTTTACTTACCTCCAACATAATTATTACAACTGGATTTAAATGTACAATCATTCAGCAAGCAATGGGGTGAGGACATACATGCAAGCAGACAGCACACCCCAGAAATTGGATCCCAAAGTTTTCTAGTAAATCTATTATTGAATAATAAAAACAAGTCCATTGTCCTCACTAGAGACCCATCAAAATAGGGATCACATATTGCCATTATAAGGATAAAACTTACCTATAGAAAAGACCTTTTCATACTTGAGACTCTTGGTTTACAAATTAGAACAAATCACCTAAAAACTCAAAGTTTTAATTTCTAATAAAAAGTCTGAGATTTAGAAATCAGACTGTCTGACAGTGATCAGTTGAAGTTCCTAGCATCAGGTGCACATGCTTTCCATGTGGCCATTTTCCTCCAGCACCTCATCCTGCCAATTCTTGTACATTTCATGGAGTAGGTGCAGTCATCCATGGTAGCAAGAATGGGTCTGTTCCTGGATACCTCCCACACATGGATCAAACTAGTGGCTGATGAGGATAAGGGAGAAAAGTAGCAACTATTTATTTGACTTAGATGATTCACATCAAGCATTTAAAGATGGGTATTCTATGCACTAAAAAAATTAGTATATTGAAAAATATATAATAGTTTCCGTTAAGACAACACAAAAACTCTTTAGAGATGTAGAGAGCTCATTTAACCCATTCCTTTAAAAATTACTTTTTTTTAAATTTTTATTGGATTATAGGTTTTGGGGTACATGAGCAGAGCATGCAAGACAGTTGCGTAGGTACACACATGGCAGTGTGCTTTGCTTTTCTTCTCCCCTTCACCCTCATTTGGCATTTCTCCCCAGGCTATCCCTCCCCACCTCCCCCTCCCACTGGCCCTCCCCTTTTCCCCCCAATAGACCCCAGTGTTTAGTACTCCCCTTTCTGTGTCCATGTGTTCTCATTTTTCATCACCCACCTATGAGTGAGAATATGCGGTGTTTCATTTTAAGATCTTAATTTTTTGTAAAGAAATGTAATTTCTGTACTGTCTTTAAAATTAAAGAACTGTTGCTCTTTAATTTTACACTTAGATAAATTTTAGTTTATCTTCATAATGTAAATTTTAAAAGTAATTGTAATGGGTTCAAAAAATGTTTGCC